ATAAAATCAAAATAACTTTTGCTGTAATTAAATAATATTTTCATCAAAAAACAAATATATTTTTATTATAATTTAATAATATTTTGTATTAGAAGATAATTAAACCTTTTATTATAATCAAATAATATTTAATATTAAAAGACAAAATATCTTCTTCATTAAATTTAAATAATACTAAATAATATTCTTTATTATATTTATTATATTCAAATAATATTAATATATTACTAATATTTAAATATTTTTATTTTCTTTTTTTGGAAAATGAAGTAAAAAATTTTGTGTTTTAGAGAGAGAAGGAGTGAGGAAGAGAGAGAGAAAAAACTAAGTTTATTATTTTGTTTTAAGGTAATTTTTTAAATTATAAGAGGTTATATTTGTCTAATTAACTTTTTTTCTTATTCCTAACCATTTGGAATAGCCGTTATCAAGGAGATCCTTAGTAATGACTGTTCAAGCTTCTCTTGAAATGGCTATTCCCAAGGATATCTATTTTAGTTAATCAAATGCGGTTTTATCTCAAAAATGAGAATAGAGGAGAAATGGCTATTCCATTCCCTCCAACCAAGCATGCTCTAAATATTTCTTCTTGTAGGCATCAATTGATGGAATAAAGTAATTGTAAATATATAATTTTTATTAATATACTAATTTATTAAGGACTATTATTAGAAAAATATATTCAAATTTTGAGAGTTAATGTGAAAGAAGACAAATTGGAAAATTTTTGAATGCTATATAACTTATAAATCTAAAATTTTGAAATTTATTCATAATTTTTATTTAATTACATTTGTTCTTTCAACGTATTTCACAAGTTAAGGTAGACCAAATAGACACATTTGAAATTTCATTTCATTAAATTTCGTTTTCCTTCATGAATATCTCGTTTGCTATTTGATTTCATTTGTCATTATGGTGCATTAGACTTTGCACTTCTAATTATCAATTATGTGCCAAATGGGATTAAAATGATAACATGATTGCCAAGTGTGCTACATCCTGTTGTAAACTTTTATGTAACATGGGAACTTAACAAAATCTTGCACCCAAATTCTAATCCACTACGGTTTGAAGGGTGATTCCAAGAGCAGATGAATCCACTAAGGTTTGAAAATTTTTAATTAATATATATATATATATATATATAATTGTTATGGGAAATAGTATATTTATGAGATTGTGTGGCTCTTCCGAAATTTTTGAAATTTTTATTTATTTTATATTTTTTATGTCTCTCAAAATAATTTATACAAATAAGAAATAATAAAATAACTCTATAAACTCTAGTCAACTTTACCCTAATTCTTAATTAAGTTTCTTCACACCTCTTTCTTTCTCTTTCTCTTCTCTTTTGTCTTTTTATTTTTATTTTACTGTCTTCTATATAACTTACTATTGAAACACACTTCATTCTTTAAAAGAGATTTATGAGCTTTGACAATGACCATTCACCATTATTGTATGAAACTAAAAGAAGTTAAATTTTTTTTATCTTTTTCTTTTTAGTTATATTATTTAACTATTTATATATTAAACTATTATGTGAAATCTTGTATATCGTATTTATATATTTATGCATTGTAATTTTATACTTAGTATTTTAAGTTTAAATATAAATAAAATTAGAATATTAGATGTTGACTGTATTAATTTTTTTTAAGATTTGATTAAAGTATGAGTAAATTAAAAACAATTGATAAATTCTTTAAAAGAAAATATGCAAATCGTCTAAATGATTCTCTTACACTTGAGTCACCAAGCCTAATAAAAATTGTGAAAAAAAGAATTCGAAACTAATTGGATAATAAATTTCTTGTATATAATTTAATTATTTATATTGAAAAAGACATTACTAGTTTTTTCAATACAAAGTTAATAATGGATGAATTTGAATATATGAAATATCATTGAACATAATTTTTCTAAAAGATTAATGTAAATCTTTTTTTTTATTTCTTTTGATTTACATGATATATAAAATTATCTATTATGAATTCTTTGATTGATAGTTAACTTCATCGTATTAGTTTTAAAAATTTTTAATTTTTAATTTTTTTTTTTTAGCCCTCAACAAAAATTGGTTAGCTCTATTCTTACACCACTTTAATAGTAGAATCATATGGCACCATTCCCTAGCTTCACGATTCTATCAAAATCGAAGTCTGTGACTTCTTGATTGAGAAATGTATAAGATTTTTTTTTTTTGAGGAGTTGTGTTTAAGGAATTAAATTGGAAACGGCCCTATAGTTTTGTTTATTAAATAGCGTATAAGTTGCAGCTTTTACATTTTATTTGTCAAAAATGACGTGGAAGATGAAAAGGTTGAAAATCTGGTGTTGTTTAGGGTAACACTGCTAGCAATGTTAATAAGTTATAAGATAGGTGGCAAGAAAATAAATAAGAGGTCCCAATGAGGGCACAAATAAAAGGAAGAGGATTTTTATTCTAAAATATTGGAATATTTTATATTTTATAGAAGGGAATTTAAATTTAATTTTTTCATAGAAGATAAAGTATTGTATCTATTATAGAATCAAATAATTAAGTAAAAAATATTTATATTTATTTCTTAATATTATAAATTTTTTATATTTAAATATTTTGACTTATTAATAAATATATATATCATTGATTCTAAAATTTTATATTTTTTAAAATTTTTGATTCAATTTTGTTCCTATACATTTTAATTTTGTTCAAATTATAGCATCTTGTTGAAGTGAGCAAAACTTACCAAAGCAAAGCTGACATTATCACCTTTAATGGCAAATTGGATTTCATTGGAGGGAGAGAATAAATTATTTTAATTTTCAAAATTGAAAGATTAAATTGATCAAATTTTAAATACAGGGATTATATTGATGAAAATGCATGGGTACAGGGCGTATTTGAATACTTTAATCAATTTCTAATGATACGGATGCTATAGTACCTAAAAAAAAATTCCATTTATATAATTCATTTGGTTTTAAATTTAATAAATTTTAAGGCTCATTTCATTGATTTTTTAATAAAAATGAAAAAAAAGTGAAAATAAAAATTTTTAAAAATAAAAAATAAAAAAATCAATTAAATAAATGATAATCTCTAGATAGACCTCTTGTGATATGGTATTTTCTCACATAGCATCTCAAGGTCATTTTTTTTTCCATATAAAACATTGTGTTTTACTTTTTTTGCTTGTAGTAATAGTGTTAAATTGTAAATTAAATTTTTATAAAAGACAATAACAATTTTGTTTTATAAAAAAAACAACCTTTGTATTTAAGTCTTCTTACTTTTTTTTGTTTAATTAAAAAAATTTAACTTTGTTTGGATTTCTCTCTTTTCTAACTTTTCTCACTATCCAAATGAGACACATGGAGACAAATTCTAGCCAGATTTTATTAAAATAATAATAATAAAAAGCATTGAATCTGGGTTACAACGGTAGAGGAAGATCTAAAGCCGATTTTATTATCAGCATATTTAAAGAAGAAAAAGTCTAATCAAATTCGGACCATTTATCATCCTATACCAACATCTTGGCGTTAGATACAGAACCTTGTTAATCTTGAAGAAACGTTATTAAAGCACAAAAGTTGTTATTTTTTTATAAAAAAATTAATTAATAATTTAACATTATTACTATCTTTAAAAAAAATTAAAACAAAAAATTTTATTATAAAAAAAAACCTTAAGAAACTATACGAGAAAAAATCATACCACAAAATATTTAAGTAAAATTTACCTAAAATAAAATCTAAAAAAAATACACACATATAAAAGGTAAATTACTAACAAATAATTAGTCATCATTTTCGTATTTGAGTATTTAATTCATTAATTGATACATAATTTCTTACTTAAAAAATAAATTCAAATCTCCATCCACCAATTATAAAGAAAAAAATCATTTGACGTTCATCAACGAAGCTAAATCCAGTCCTATTTTCCCTCTTAATGCTGTAAAAGCACCTAACCCTTGCCTCTAGTACGCGTAAGTGTCGGCAACTCGGGTCAAATGGCATGGGGGTCAACGAAATTTCACTATTTGATGTGCAAAGCATACCGTTTAGTGGACAACTGATCGGCGATCGTATATAAAATTGGCGCGTAAATGGGGGCCCCAACCAACTGTCATTCTCAATTCCAGCTCTTCGCAACTTGTGCCAATCCTTTTCAGAACACCCAACCTGTGAATTTTATTTCCCAATTTAGCCTTACTCTTATCTGGAAATTTAATCCCATGCCTTTATTTTTTCATCTTTTAATCAGTGAGAGGAATCGTTGCAATCATAGAAAAAAGAAACTTTGGCTTCTTTTGTATTTATGTTTTTATTTTTTCATAAAGCAAATAAATTATTAAAATTATAGTAAGATAATGCATGAAAATAAAATTTTAATAATATTAATTTTTATTTTTAAAAATTTAAAACATTGCCCTATTTAATGGTATTAACTAAAATGATATTTAAAATAAGCTATGTAAATTTTAAAAAGAGAGAAAAAGAATATTAAAGAGCATAATTTACACATTTTTAAGCATATCTTTTCTTACACTTTTTATCCCATAAATATTGTCTTATGTACATTATTTGTTATAATTTCATAGTAATATCCTGTTTAAAAGAGTAAAAGAAAAACCATTTTAAATTTCTCTTATTACCCTTAACTATGATTGCTTTTATTTTGTCTAGTGAAGGGTTCAAAAGAAAAATTATAATCAATAAAATAAATATTCAACTATAAAAATTGTAACTTCATGCAAATTATAGACTTAATTAGAATATATATATATATATATATATATATATATATATAATGAAGATCAATCACAATTCACAAGTTTTGTATTGAAGTGGAGTGTGATTCTGGCTCCAATAAAAAGAGGTTGAAACTAAAATAACAATAAAAGGGTAGTTTAGTCAAACAAAAGGGTGCCCACCCAAATATCTGCAGGTGGATGGCGCTTCGTAACAATTTCTGGTCTCCTGGGAAGTCCCTTTCTCCTTTTACAGTGAAGGACTGAATAGCAGTTACCAGGAGGGAGAGAACAAAACAAAACATGCTCTGTTTAGGGTCACTTCATTCCTTCCTACCTGTGCCCTTCAAACCACCTTAAGTACCACTTTCACTTCCTCCCCTTCTCTCTTTCCCACCGTTCAGTCTCCCCAGGTTTCTCACATTCTTGCAAAAACCATCCTGTCTTGTTCCGTCAAGTCTTTCGTTTTCTTCATTCTTTTTACTTCCATCTATCTAAATCTACCATTTCCTTTGACCCTTCAAAAAAAAAGAAAGTAAAAGCAAGGATTTTTCTGAACTTAGCTATAGTTCCTTCACTGACCCTTTACGTTTGTTTGTCAGAATTTTTTTGTTATAGCTTCAAATTCACACTTCTCGCTGTCCTTTTTTTAAAAGAAAGAGCTGAACCTTGCTCAAAGTTTGTCGAGTCTAATTTATGTTGAAACTTGTTTTTCTCCATCAAGTCTCAAATTTTCTTGTACTGGCTTTTTTTTTTTTAGACATAGTTGCTTGATCAAAATCTAAAATTTTTGACTCCCTTTTGAAACTTAATTGTAGCTCAAAGATTCAATCTTTTTGAAACAAGAAACAATGAATATTATAGGTTCTCATTTGTTGATTCTTCTAACATTAATTTTTCTTGTTCGTGTTCAAACCCTCCATGCCTTGGATTCCTCCCCAACAACACCCATGAATTGTACGGATACATCAAGATTATGCGCATCTTTTTTGGCTTTTAAGCTGCAAGACAACCAAACATTAGCAGTGATCCAGAGCATGTTTGATGTGTTGCCACAAGACATAACAGTTGAAGAAGGGGACAGCCATGGCTACATGTTCATCAGGAAGAACTGTTCGTGCTTAACAACAACCAAGAATTATGCCACAAACACAACTTTTACAGTGAGATCAAATGGCGGGTATGTTTATGACATGATTTTAGAGGCTTATGATGGGCTTGCCATGGTTCCAAATGTTACCAGGTCGGCAAGGGTTGGAGCTGTGGTGTCTTTGAGGCTGTTTTGTGGGTGTTCAAGTGGGTTGTGGAACTACTTGATGAGTTATGTGATGAAAGATGGGGATAGTGTGCAATCTTTAGCAAGTAGATTTGGGGTTAGCATGGATAGTATTGAGGAAGTCAATGGGATTGTAAATCCTGATAATGTCACTGTTGGTGCTCTGTATTATATTCCATTGAATTCAGGTTTGTCTTAAAACCATCTATCTTTTTCTTCCCAATTTTGGATTCTTAAGTTTTGATTTGAGAGGCTTCAAAGTTATAGGATTTTTGCATATGGAGGGCTTATTGTTTGGAGATATGTATATTTAGGTTGCTTTTGAGAGATGGATTTTTCTGATGTTGTTTCGCAGGATGATATTGACATAGTTTTTCAGAACTCTTATGTTTTGCAAATAGATTATGGTTAATCAAGTTAATCAAATAAGATTTCATGGCCATCGTTTGTGTTAGTCTATACCTAGGTATATTAATTGCGGGTCTTAAACTTGCTTAACACTACTTTAAGCTTTGGCTTGGTGTGGTTGAAAGTTTAACATTGCAGGTCAGATTTGGTTGTCCAAGTAATTGCAAATGTTTTGAAGATCCGTGAAGTAGGCTTGGGATAGTGATAGGTTAATTAGATGCCAATTGGTGATGAATTCAGTTCACTTTTTAGAGTCTGTAACCTACTTGCTTTATAAGTGAAGTCAGAATGTGAACTTGAGGAAGATGCGAGTGCCAAAAGCATTTCATATATACAAACAATATCTATAATGAAAGCAATAACGAATTCATACACTGTGTGTAATATCTATGATTAGCATTAATGAGAATCTTTGCTTCATTGTTCAGTTCCTTGAATTACAAGGCTATTAGTTGGTTTTGAATTATGCCTAGTGTCTGTGTGCAACTTGCAATACAAACTGGGAGTAGTTCTTTTTCTTGTTCATTTTGTTGGATTTCACATATTTTTTAATTCTCTTACAAATTCTCTTCCTGTAACAGAATTTTTTAGATTTTTAGACTGGCTTGTTTATTTGTATTGCAGTTCCTGGTGAACCATATCATGTGGAGAATGACATTACCCCTGCGCCTGTTCCAGCACCATCTGCTGACACAATATCAGGTATGGATTGATAAATCTAAGTGAAGGAATTAAACTGAAGTAGGAATGATGAATAGGTTGTGATGTATTAATGCTATGCCATTGACTAGGTCTGTTTTTTAATGATGTCAACTAACAGCTGGCAAACATTAATAAAAAATGCTGTTAAATGTATTTCAAAATTGAAATTTGCAAGTTTTATGTAGCAACAGATGGTTACATGGCTTGCTGTCCAGATATGTGGATTCAAGCGCCTGTTTAAATGTATGTGCTGCTCATTCTTTCTGCCAAAATGTTTGCCAGTTCGTTTTTTCCTGTTACAATTGTGAGCTACTTCTGTTTTGTTTGATTGCATGCATTTCTGGTAAACACTTAGTGAAAGGAGCAGCCTGTGATTAGTAGCTGTTTGCTTAATTTTTCTTCTGTTGGCAGCTTCGTAGTCAATTTATGTTGGAGTATCAAAGCCCATGCAGTAAGCAGGCAGCAATTGTTTATCTTTAAACCTTTTGACCATTTGACATTGTTTTATTCACTTTAGTGAGCTGTAAATACGATTCTGAAAGGGTTGAAAGTTACGGGCTTGGTTTTGTGAGATCCATAGTTTCAAATTGTGCAATTTTTGGCTTGCTTTAGCTTTTCTTGGAATTTCTAATTTTTGAAGGTTATCTCTATTAAGCCTACATAAAGGTGTCATTTTATTTGAGAAATATAATGTTATATCTTCTTTTTATTTTTGCAGAAATTCAAGTAAATCATAAGGCTCATGTGCCATATGGATGGATCATTGGGGGTTTTGGTGTTGGGCTTGCCCTCATTATATTAAGCATAGTTGTTTGTATTTCCTTGAGGTCATCAAGCTGTTTTGCTGAATCTCATGGAAGTCTTGCCAAAGATCCTGATGGCAAGAGTTCTCATAAATTTCACATTCTTCGGAAGCCAAGTTTCTGTTGTGGTTCAGGAAGGTACATTTGTGGCAAATCTGGGAATTGGAACCAAACTAATGGCGAACCTAGTAACCCCCAGATTACTATTCCAAAAGGTTATTACATTCTCGAATGTTTAATTAGTTTCTATTTTATTTGTTGCTAGCTGAAATACTGGCAAGGAAGTATATAATCATGCTAAACAAGATAGATTAATTAATCAAAACAAATAATAGCAAAACTTATAAGCCCTAGACCTAACAATCAGATCTTACATTGTTCCCCAATCATTTTATGCATGCCAAGAAGGTCGGGACTCTTTATATCCAGGAAATGAAAGGCTTAGCTTAGTTTTCCTTTTGGTGTTGCACAAACCTGATTGCTGTATTCTTGTGCTTGTCAATCATTAATTCTCATATACATCATATTTCTTTTCCTTGTTCTTCTCTTTCCCTTTGGAGGTTGGGGCAGGGTGGATTCTTCTCTTACACTGGTATAAAACATGGGACCATATTTGGGTGTGACATGTATCTTTTATCTATTGTTGTATTACTTATTTTATTCAGGAAAAGGTCTATTTCTGTATGCATGCCCGTATTTTACCCCTTCATTTGATTAATGGACTGTTTGATCAAGAAGCCAAGAGTGTGTTAATAATCACTGTATAGTAATTGCAGCTTGTATTCTGATCTAGCCCTGAAAATCATTTTATCCACTAGCAATCTTTTCTTTCCTATTATGGTAAAGACATGGATGCCTTCCATTCTCAATTTCTCATGTTGTAAAACCATTGTATCATGTCACTTTTGTTGAAGTTTGCTTAATACTGAACTATTAAGGGAAAGCCTTCAAGGATAATTTGTTCATGTTTTAATTAAAGAAAGATCAGTCGTGTCAAACTATAGCTCATCAACTAGCATGTTCAATTATGACATCTTGCTTGGCCAAAATAAATAACAATGAGCAATGACAAACGAACAAGGTCTGGATTTTGAGATGCAATTACAAGTGTCGCCATCACTATCGAATGAGTCAATTCATGGTTTAGCTTCAGCGAATGGGCTCTGAACCTTTATTCCATGACATATTACCTCGTTTTGCTTATGAGACATTGCCAGGCACATGAAGAGAGGTTGCTTTGACTTGTAAAGTTTTTGGGATTCCCTTTATTGTTCATCAAATCTGTTTGAAGTAGTTGCTTTGTAGTCATGTTGTCTAAAATTTCTGAATTAAGTGGAAATTCATTTTGTGTTCCAGAAAATAGGCTTAACTTTAACAAGCAGGATAGACTTGTTTTTATGGTAACTCAGCTTGCTGCCCCTGACCGATCTCAAACATGGGAAGTCTAGTCTAACTTTGTTTACTTGTTCTCTCTGACAGCTCTAGGAACTGATGTACTTGATGTTGAGAAGCCTGTGATTTTCACTTATGAAGAAATTCTTTTTTCGACTGATGGATTCTCTGAGTCAAATCTTCTTGGTCATGGAACCTATGGTTCTGTGTATTATGGTCTCCTTCGTGACCAGGTTTGTTCCTTTCTACCTCAGAATTTAGATAACATAACCTGAATAGTGAAGACATACTATTAAGGTTTTTATTTTTATTTGATTCTTTTAGGAAGTTGCTATAAAAAGAATGACTGCCACAAAGACGAAGGAATTTATGGCAGAGATGAAAGTTTTGTGCAAGGTTCACCATGCAAATCTGGTACTGCTGTCTGTATGATAAGCAATTGTTTAAATTATGAAGGCTTGCTGCTCTTCCATTGTTCAAAAACATTGACTCCCATTTTTGTTTAATATTGTCAAAGGTAGAGTTGATTGGCTATGCTGCAAGTGATAATGAGCTCTTCCTTATTTATGAATATGCTCAAAAGGGTTCTCTTAGAAGCCATTTACATGATCCCCAGAACAAAGGTAAGATTGTACCAGTGCTTTCTTGAGTTTTTATAATTTGTTTCATTTTTTAAAAATGAGTTATCAAGACTTTACTAGGTTGAAGGCTTTATCTCTGTAAAATTTGATAATTACTGTTTGTGAATTTGAAGCCAGTATATTAATGCTTTTAACTAGTTGTGACGGAGCATAAGTTCTTGATATACAGTTATAAAACTGCATAAGTAGTAGTGCAAAAATAGATTGAATATTGTCAATTATGGTGCCAGATCATACTTAACCATGATGTTGAAACATTGCTGATTGTATAAAACCATGATGAATAAGAAACTAAAATAACTTAGTATGCTTGACCAATTTTCAAAATGAGGGGAAGCTATTCTCATCATCCCGAGGCTTCATGGGTTATATCAAATATTATCTAGTGGTAGCAACCTGAAGCTTGGGAATTGCAATGACCAAGCACATCCTATTCTTAAACAAGTGTTTCCATAGGTTTGAGTCCTATTGTCTCAGCTAGTCCAATATATTGGCTCTTTTATGGGCTAGTTTTAGGCTATGAGCATTAATCATTGCTATTCCTGATTGCTTGGTTACTAGTGAGTTTAAATTGAATTGTAAGCACCATGGTAGATTTTCAGTGTTGAAGCATTATAGAAGGTCCTGCTTTGTGCTTGGCTGGACAAAGAGGAGCCTAAATGCCACCTGCAGCTCCCTTAGCAATAGGATGCAGTTAGCTCCTATGCTTAACTTTTTGGCTAGAATATGAATTGCAACTTTAGTGTTCACGATGATTTTATTCAGCTCGTTCCTAGTTAGAATATGTTATTATCCGTCTTTTCTCCTTTTTTTAAAACCTTTGAATGACATTACATGAGGTATGCACTCTGGATGTGGGATCTTCTGATGTGCTGTATTATGTCTTGTACTGAGTCTTGACATTCATACTATTTATTTGAAGGTTATACACCACTATCTTGGATAATGAGGGTTCAGATTGCACTTGATGCTGCTAGAGGCCTGGAGTACATCCATGAGCATACTAAAACTCATTATGTTCATCGAGATATCAAGTCGAGCAACATCTTGCTTGATGGTTCTTTCAGGGCAAAGGTTCTAACACATTATATCTTGTTGGTTTTGTTTTGTTATTTAAGTGTGCATGAGCACATTTCACTGACTTCACTTTTACTCTAATTAGATTTCAGATTTTGGGTTGTCAAAGCTTGTTGGAAAAACAAGTGACGAAGAAGCAACAGCAACAAAAGTTGTTGGTACATTTGGTTATTTGGCACCAGAGTAAGTGATAATATTGTTAGTTGGCTACTGTCTTTCTCTGAGAGTTTTTCAAAATTCTTAACTCTTCTGCTATCTGTATATTGTAGATATTTGAGTGATGGACTTGCCTCATCAAAAAGTGATGTGTATGCATTTGGTGTTGTTCTGTTTGAGACTATATCTGGAAAGGAGGCAATCATAAGAACGGAAGGCACCACAATGAAAAATTCTGAAAGACGTTCACTGGCATCTATTGTGAGTAACATTTTAGCACATTCTAAGATGCATATTTTATTCCAATTCATTGACAGCATAGTGGTCTGTGAGAAATAATATCTTTCCTGAAACTAATATATAACATCAATTCAGAGCATAATTTAGCCTTGTACATAGTTCTGAAGCTGAAGAATGAGAATCTCCAATAGACTAACTTGAGCACTGACAAATGATTTGGTTTCCTACTTTTTGGATGAAACTGCATCCTCCCCTGAAAAATGATATTCTTGTTGAATGTGAGATGGGTAGCTTATAGGTCTCCTCTTTTTTGCTTCCCTTTCATCTTCTAAGCATTAAAAGGTGATTCAATTGAGGCAGACACTACTCTCATATCTAATGGTCCGGCATAGTAATGTGTCTTGGAAAAATGAAATAAACAAGGAGGAATGTGGCATACAGAAGAAATTAGATATGGCATTTTTGTGTTCTGTATCTGTCTGGCTGATGGTTGAACTCATAGGAATGCTCAGGGCTGTTGTTACTTATAATAAAATTGATTAATCGAGAGCAAAATGAAAGGACACAAGCCATGAATTTTGATCTATTCCTACCTTTGTTTAACTATATCGGAATTGGTATCTGTGAAGCAGAAGCCTTGGATAACTGAAGCTTATACTGTTCAGTTTTGATGTATAGAGAGATGATGTAGCAGTTGAATAGCCTATTTCTGTTTGATGTATAGAGGTTTGAACAGTGAGATCATATTAATTTGCCTTGTTGCTAACTGGAATGGAATAGAGGGGGTTTCTCTAGTGCTGTGAAATATAAATTGATATGTCAGAAGTTGATAGACTAAAATACAGAAGTAACATCTTTTCGCTTCTTTCCCCAAGTATGCAATGTTAGATGCTCCTTTATCGTGGCTTTCTCCTAATTATAGTATCTGTTAAATTGCAAAATTGCAGATGTTGGCAGCTCTCCGGAACACACCAGACTCAATGAGCATGTCAAACATGAAAGGTTATATTGATCCAAATATGTTGAATCTGTATCCTCATGATTGTGTTTTCAAGGTATATTTCTGACCTTTTTTTCTTTTTGTCATCTTTACCTTTTTGGCCTGTTATATGAAATGTGAAGCTTGCTGCTTTCTTGAGAAAAAGGCTAAACTATTGTTGGATCTCTTCAAATACAAGGAAATGTTCAGGAAAAAAAATATTATCCATTTTTCTGGAAAGAATTGGAATGTAGATTGCGTTGATAAGTTAGCAAATTCTGATCATGCTTCCTCTTAATGCATTTCATACATGAAGAGGAAGCATAATCTGTACAACAAACTGGACACCTTAATAATGGTCTAATGAACATTCTTGATTGAGAATCCCTCGTTATCATTTCCGCATCTAGGCTAGATGACCATTTTTGTTAATGCTTTAAAGTATGAAGTTACATCGTCGACATTCATAAAGCTACAACGTAAGCAGTTATGAGATTTTGGGATTCCTTATCCCAAAAAAATAAAGAAAAGAAGAAGAGATTCTGTTATTGCATTCACAATATGCTTACTCACCTTCTAACTTTTTTCCTGTGATTTAATTAGATGGCTATGCTGGCAAAGCAATGCGTTGATGAGGATCCTATCGTACGCCCTGACATGAAACAAGTTGTGATTAACTTGTCACAGATCCTTTTGTCCTCTGTGGAGTGGGAAGCAACTCTTGCTGGGAACAGCCAAGTCTTTAGTGGTTTGGTACAAGGAAGATAGTTATGTAGCAGACAACCCCTCTCTATATACTTTTATTCTGTTGCTCCACTTTGTGCCCCCTTTCATCTTTATACTTATGTGTGCATAGTAGCAATTGATGTTCCAGAAAGGCAGTAATATGGTGGTAGTATTTATATAGCTTCTTTTTTTTTTTTCAGTTCTTTTCTCTCTTTTCCCCTGCTCTATATGTTATATTCTTTGAAAAGCTCAACTTGTGTGAAAAAATTTTGATGTAAAATGCCACGATGTAGTAAAAGATTCGGCTGCTTTATAAGCAAGCCATTTGGGTAGCTAGCTTGATGTCAATTTCTTCTTTTTATGACCTGGGTTCTCGTCTATTTCCTTTCTTAAGACTATTGCTTTGTTATTATTATTATGAATACGAGAAACACACTCAACGCTTTGACATAGATGCTGAGACGACTTGTGTGGGCCATGCAGGCTTTGAATGTTCTTTTGCCCACTCTATCTTCTGTTAGTGAGCCTAGGAGCATACCCGTGTGAAGGTTCTTTCTCCATTCATGTCGGCAACACAAACTAAGAAGAGCTTATCTCGAAGCAGTTAGCAGGAATCATATTAAGTTCAACTCTTGACCTTGTTCATTATATCTATATGTATAATCCCTCGCCATACAGCGTACCGCTCTCTGATGATTCGCATGAAACGCGAAACGGCTTCACAAAAAATAAGCCTCCAACTTCGTTTCGAAGAATTATGGACAATATTTTGAGTACCATGGTGGTCGGTGCACAAACTGGTGCAATTTCTGGTAATCAATTATTAATCTTATTGTTTTCATTAGTAGCACATCCCAAAACGGTTAAAGAGGTACAAGATACAGAGTAGGGCATATTATACAAGGGGTAAGCTAGTAGAGCATCCAGTTCCCATTGCCGGCACAAAGTAGATATCTGCTACAGGGAGGAACAAGTAATGCAGGGGCTTCCCCATTCCTACTTGCAGAGTGAAGCCAGTACACGTCGAGGTGGATCAAATGGCCTTCGTGAATGAAGGACAGCCCAATTATCTATCAGTAGAACATCTCCTTTCCTCCAAGGAATGGCAACACATTCCTCCTCAAGGATTTTCAGGCAGTCATAAATGATATCAGCCGGCAACGGTTTCCCATCCCCAAAAGTAACTGCCTTCACAGGATCATTCCTCTCATCTTCCCAGCCTGTGTAAGCAGCCACCATGCTATTGAACCAAATTTTGCGTTGCCTTGACTTGTCATATTTAACAGCTGGTATTGGACCCATTATCGTTTTCACTCCATCTCCAATCCATTCCAACTTCATACCTAGCTTTGCAGCCCTGCAACAAGTTTTTGTGAACCATTGTTAATTTCTAGTTTCCAAATGAAGCAACAAAAGGTTTGTTTTAAGTACGAGTAAAAGTCATTTCATCCATTAGGAAAAATGATCAAATCCCCTAACCTTTCCTCGGCCACGCTCTTGTCTGTTGTCAGGAATGTGGATTTCCACCCACGACCAATGGGAGATGAGGGATCATCACCCTCGCCTAGTACCCTCGTATATATTAGTCCATGCTCCTCCAACCGCCGGACAAATTCTGGGTACTCGTCTTTCATTCTCTCATAGATAATGTGGCTTAGAACTATGGGAGTTTCTCCCCCACTTCCTGGCTCTACCTCGCAAAAGAAGAACAATTTGGATGGGAATTCAGGAACCTGCCATCAAATAATTTGCGACAAAACATGTTAAGACCGTTAAACAAATTCAATTGACATCCAGTCAACCATAATTTCCCATAAAGTTGAATACAATTAGCAGAAAGGGAGTTACCTGAGCCATCTCATGATGAAAAGGAATCTTTTGGTCGGCAGGTGATTCATTAGCAGTAAAAACACGACCAACAACGTTAGTCCGTGGAGCAGCCCCACCTACGTACGGTAACTCCTCGAAACCAAAAGCCTCCACGACGTCGTTGAAGTCCTTGGCTGTCTCTACTGGGAACCCCCTGAAGAGTATAGCTCCCGCTTTGAGCAACAAAGAGTCCAGAAACGGCTTCTGCGACTTGATGGCATTGGTGAAAAGAGAGAGTGAAGAAGAGGTTGATGTTGGGTTTGGAGACAGAAGTGAAGGGAAAGTGAGGGAATTGCAGTGTTTTTGGTGATTGAGAAGCTGGGTTTCCATGAAGTATTGAGCTTGGTCTGCCATGGCTAAAAGGCCACTTGGGAGGTTTTTATTTTTTTTGTGATATAGGTTTTTCATTTAAAGGGAAAGAGCGTGTCCCTTTGACGCACCAGACAAGGCCGTGGCAGTGGTTTTGAACACTGTTGGGGGTGATTTGGACGGGTTTTGCGTCTAGGTTCAAGGTGGGCCGTGGTTAAGCTTTTTTCTTGATGATAGGTTAAAGACTTTAGGCCCGTTTCTTAATCCCGAGTCCAGACCCAAACCCAATTGAGTAAATAAAGAATGGCCTCGGTTGAGAACAATTACAATTTACAAGACCTTAGCTTATCTAAATGCCTTCAAAATTCCCAAAAATTGAAAGAAACTATAGATGATAATTTACCAAAAATAATAGGAGAATCCAATTAATAGTAATGGAGTGAAGCTGTAGTATCATTACTCATTACCCAACCCAATCTCATCAGTATCTGTAAAAAGTTGCAACATGTTTATCCAAATTTCTTCATCGATAGCATCTCTTTCTAATCTAACCCTTTTCCTAATATTGAATTATCTTGAGTAGCTGTACAGTGTGGGAAACTTCTTTTTCAATGTCATTATTGGTGCTTGTGTCACCCTGATTAGGTGTCACGTAATGTAAGTGTGTTTTAATATGATTTTTACAAATTTTAAAAGATCTTACATGCAGTCTTATTATTATTATTATTATTTCATTTTCTTATTTGTTTAATTAATTTTTAGTAAGATGTTTATTTTTCATTTTATAACACTTTAATTAGTTCTCTTAGATATTTGTTGGTATTGGGACATTCAAGGATGATTTTAGGGTAAAGCCACCAAAGCAAGGGTTTTAAGTTCTAAAGTTTTATATATCTCATAATTTTATAATAATAATATAATTAATTATATTAAAAATATATAAAAATTATGATAATTAATAAAATTTTTAGCTATTTTCTCATACCTAATAAATATCTATTTTCTCTCACTTCCACATCTCTATTGATTCTCAACTATTTATCTTATTTTTTGTTAAAAATAACTATTTATTTCACTTCTCATTAAAAATCAAAATAATTAATAAAATGACATATTTTTTCCTTCCTAATTATAGGCAAAATAAATGTTAATTTTTTATCACTTCTCAATTCCCATGGTGCTATTGATTCTCAACCACTTCTCCTTTTCCCAATCAAAACAATATGATTCAATAATCTCCAATTGCTATGTTTTTTTTTTCAATATATAAAATCAATTATTATTTTTAATTTATAATATCTACTTATGAATTTCTTTTCCTTATTTGTTCTTTTTTCTTTAACTTTAATATAAAAAGACCTAATTTTTTTAATTTCAATAAAAAATTAACTCTTTTAAATATTTAACTTTAAACATTAAAAGTTACTGAACTGCTATTAGAGATCATCATCCTTTTATTAACCATGGAAGGTATGACGCCTTGTAATTCATATGTTTATTGAGTCACTTGGTTGAAAACTAAACTCACCTTAAGGCCTTCATGGCATGTTTGGTTGGAGGAATGGTTTAAAAAATTCTCCCTAATTTGGTTTGTTTTTGGAAGAAGAAATAGCCATTCCAAAACTTGGCAAAACTTTAGAATAATGAATACCATTTTTCCCATGGTATTATTTATTTCACACCCATGAAAATAGAATTCAAACATTCTACACTAAAATGTCCTTACTTTTAAAACTTACAAACTTAAAGTTATAAAATTAATACTTTAAATTAAAAATTAAAAATTATTAATATTTTAATATTTTCATTATAATATATATTAAATTATAAAATAAAATATTAATATTTTAAAAAATTAGTTTTTAAATTATTAAGTGAAAATATAAATTACAAAATAAAAAATGCTAATGGAGAAAAAATAAATCTTATTATAATAAAAAGTTTATGTTTTTAATTCTATTTATAAAATATTTTGAATTTAAAAATTAATTAAAAGTATTAATATTTTAAAATTTTAATTATTAAATTATAAATAAAATTAATATTTAAATTATAAATTATTAATATTTAAATCAATTATAAATTATTAATATTTAGAAAATAAAATAAAATAAATAATCATAATAATATTAAAATTATAAATGAAATATTAATATTTTATAATTTTAATAATTATATTATAAATAACATATTAATATTTAAAAAATAAAACAAAATAAATATTTTTATCTTTTATTAGTTTTCTTATTTCAAAGTTAAATCATAAATACTATTTTTATTTTATTTCATTCATCTATCAAATTATTTAATGATTATAATTATTTTTATAAAATAATATTTTATTTTATTTTTATTTAATTCGCAAACCAATGTGTAGCAATAAGCTAGCCATACTTCGACTCCGATCCGCTAAGTTCTCTTCAACCCGGCCCATCGTCTCAACATTCGGATCCTAAAAAACATAAATGTAAATAAAGAAACAGATAACGAAAAAAATAATAACAGCCCGCCCTGCAGAGAGCCAGACCAGAAATTCAAAATGCAAACGGCATAAAATCTAGAGGGAGAAAGAAAGAGGAAAATTCTAGACTGGAAATTACCACAAAAATAAAGAGGAAAAAGGAAAGAAAAGGATGAGGAGAACGGAATGGGCAGCGAAATCCGTGAGGAAACCGCTGAGAGATGTATCGAATAACAATAGTGCAAGGAGTTTCTCCAAATCGGACATTCCGAAGAAGAAAATGGTCGACAAAGACAAGATTCAAAGCCACGACTCCCTCGATCGCCTCCTTCTCGTTCAATCCGATCTTTCCTCTCTCCTCCGCCAGGTATGACCAAAACTAAAATTTTAAGTTTTTCTTTCGGGTACCAAGTTATGATTAAATGTACTTGTTTAGGGTTTAGCTTCTGTTTGGCTCCTGAGGAAATATGCTAAAATTACGTGTAAAATTATCCGAGTTTAGCTAGGTTTTACTTCTTCATTTTATTACTTATTTTATTTAATTTTTTGTATGTGTTTGATGGATTCCTTAGATTTTGCAATCTAATTTCTGCATTTTCTTTTTTCCCCTGAGGATTCGAGTTGCTTACTTATTGTTATAAGCTTTTCCAATAAATTTGTTCCTAAACTGATATACACCAATCTATGTTTTGCAATGGCAGATTGATGAACTTGTTGCGGAAGCTTTTAAGCTTAAGGCAACAAGCGAAAATGGGACAAAAGAAATCGAATCTTTCGCGAATGTCTTGTCCGAAATGCTGTCCTCTTTAAAGGTTAATCTTTTAGGTTAATTTTCTTAAGTATATATCACTTGAATTTGAATATATATATATTGCAGAATTAACATGGATTTTCGTGTTCTATAATTGCAGCCGTGGGTTCCCAGATTTCAGAAGGAGCTTTCGAGTCCTTCCGCTGGGGAGTACAGAGATCAACCTGGACATCATTGGGAAAGTGAAACTGTTCCTTTTGTAAATGTAAATGAAAAGGAATGCTTTGATGTTGGGAGTCCAGAAGAAACCACTCTGGATTCGTTAATCTCTCCTTCTCCCCTTGTTTCGTGGCGTGCTGCTGACTGCAATGTTGAGAGAGGTAGACAGCTGTTTCTGCTTACGCCTCTCCCTATGTCAAAAGCATTGTCTTCCAAGAGGCGTGATTCGTCTAAATCAGTATTTGAAAGGATTGCTTCCAAATCTACTGTTGAGCTGCCATCTTTTCTCAACATTCCTAGGGATGAAAATGACGATTTGCTTGAAGGTGTTGCCGTAAAGCCAACGCCGATTAAGCCTTCTGAACCTGTTGTGGCTGAAACAGAGAAGACATTGAAGTGTAGGTTTATTTCTTCACCAGTGTTATCAAGAAAAGACCATTCTATGCTTGTCATGACTCCATGCTTAAAAATGTCGCCTCCTAAATCTTGTGTGCTGCTTGAACCGATTCATGAGTCCTTGCATAGAGGCGACTACGGCGTGCGCAAGTCTACCCCGTTTCCTGTTGGAATTAGCAACAGTGCTTTTACTGAATCCTCTGGCAGTGAAGCTTCTGCGGATCTGACTTTGAAGTATCCAGAACTACTGGGCATAAAACAAACTTACAAATCAGAAATTGGGAAGAAAGAGCTGGAATCCTCACCAATGTGGTTATTCTCACCTCCTAAAAGTTGCATCTTGTTGGAGCCACCAGATGACAAATCCATGGACAATGTTGCCTCCGATCACCATTTGCATATCCCTTGTGCTTTAAATCAACAAACGGAATTGCCTTTGTCAAAAGGAAATGATGTTACAGATGGCGTCCAGCAAAACAAAGCGTTTAACCAAGGTACTTTTTGTTATGTATTTGGTTAATTAAATAAACTCACTGATGTTTTTTCTTCAGCAGGAAATTGAACGTCAAATTCTCTTGTTTCTGCAGAAAATACTTGCAACAACTTGGCACTCGTACAAAGTACTCCAATGTGGAAAGAACCTGAAAGCACAATGCGGACAGGCAAACGTCCTGGTGAGAGTACTCTAAAGAAAGAGCTATGGACAAAGTTTGAAGCAGTGTCAGCTTTTGGACTTCGTTATAATGCCTCTGCAGTTCAAAGGACTGCTAGGAAGGGATTTCTTGACATGCTGGATGAGGTCTCATGCGACGATGAAAATCCAATAGCGGATGGTTTGAGATGACAAACACCTCTTCATATCTGAAAACAGCTCAATGCTGACTTGTAACTGGTGGTGTTTGCCGATATTTTGTCCGTAAATTTCTAGGAAGTGTTGAGGCTTGTCAAGGGGTTTTTTGGTTTTTACCACAATACACGTGTATTGTGCCTGTTCAATGTTAATAATATCCATTTTAAAATATAACAGCGAGAGCAGATCTAGAAGCATCATGCATATACACAAACTTCCACTCTTTCTGCAGAATTATGTGAAGTACTATGCATGAAATTACTCTGTGAATTTGCGTTGATTATTATCTTTCTTGGGGAGAGGATGAGACAAGCCCAATAGAGATGGAAATTGGATAAGAAAGGTTATTCTTTTGTAAGTTATGGTTCACCAAGATGGAAATTAGGTGAAAATTTTGAGAACTTTTG